CCACCACTAGGCCCAGACCAGGGTGAAGCTCAACTACTTGGATCAGATCGCCAAGTTCTGGGAGATCCAGGGCTCTTCCCTCAAGATTCCCAATGTGGAGCGGCGCATCCTGGACCTCTACAGCCTCAGCAAGGTTTGGGGGGGGTCCAAAACGGGGGGGGGTTAAGGGTGAGTTATGGGTGGGTTCTTTATGTGTGTGTGTCCCCCTTTGTTTTAGGTGGTGATGGAGGAGGGGGGGTACGAGGCCATCTGCAAGGACCGGCGCTGGGCCCGCGTCGCTCAGCGCCTCTCCTACCCGTCGGGGAAGAACATCGGCTCCCTGCTGCGGGCCCACTACGAGCGCATCATTTACCCCTATGAGATGTACCAGTCTGGAGCCAACCTGGTGGTGAGCAGGGGTTGGGGGGACGGGGACACCCCTAAAACCAACCTTGTTCCACAGCTTGGGGTCGGCCCTGCGGGACAGGAACAGCCTGGGGGGGGAACCCATAGAGAGCCTATGGATACCCTGTAGAGACCCTATGGATGCCCTATGGATACCCTGTAGAGACCCTATGGATGCCCTGTAGAGACCCTATGGATGCCCTATAGAGACCCTATGGATGCCCTATAGAGACCCTATGGATGCCCTGTAGAGACCCTATGGATGCCCTGTAGAGACCCTATGGATGCCCTGTAGAGACCCTATGGATGCCCTGTAGAGACCCTATGGATGCCCTGTAGAGACCCTATGGATGCCCGATAGAGACCCTATGGATGCCCTGTAGAGACCCTATGGATGCCTGATAGAGACCCTGTGGGTACCCTGTAGAGACCCTATGGGTATCCTGTAGAGACCCTATGGATGCCCTGTAGAGACCCTATGGATGCCCTATAGAGACCCTATGGATGCCTTATAGAGACCCTATGGATGCCCTATGGATACCCTATAGAGACCCTATGGATACCCTATAGAGACCCTATGGATACTCTATAGAGACCCTATGGATGCCCTATGGATACCCTATAGAGACCCTATGGACACCCTATAGATACCCTGTAGATACCCTTTGGATACGCTTTGGATACCCTATAGACACCCTATAGAGACCCTAGTGATACCCTATAGAGATCCTAGAGAGACCCTGTTGATGCTCTAGGGATACCCTATAGAGACCCTATGGATACCATATAGAGACCCCCCACTAAAGCCCTCCTGAAGCTCTCATCCCTTCAGCAGTGCAACACGAGGCCCTTTGAGAGCGAGGAGAAGGACCGGGAGTACAAACCCCACAGCATCCCCTTGCGCCAGTCGGTCCAGCCCTCCAAGTTCAACAGCTACGGCCGGCGGGCCAAGCGGCTGCAGCAGGAGGTGGGCACCCCAAAACCAACCTAACCCCCAGCAATCCAATGGGATCCCCCCGCCCACCACACACAGTGATCCTGCCATCCCATAATCCCACAGCCGGAGCCCACGGAAGAGGACATCGAGAAGAACCCGGAGCTGAAGAAGCTGCAGATCTATGGGGCCGGCCCCAAGATGTTGGGCTTGGGGCTGGTGGCCAAAGACAAGACCCTGCGGAAGAAAGGTGCCTCCTTGGGGGTGGTTATGGGGTGGTTGTGACCCCTTTCCCCCCCCTCCAGTGCTTTTGTGCCCCACAATCCTTTTGTGCCCCACAGTCCTTTTGTGCCTTAAGCCTATTGTGACCTCCCCAGTCCAATTTGAAACACCCCAATTGTGTCCCCCAATCCTATTGTGACCCCCCCAGTCCTATTGTGACCCCCTCCCATTGTAACCCCCCTAATCCTATTGTGACCCCCATCATTGTGACCCCCTCCCATTGTAACCCCCCTAATCCTATTGTGACCCCCATCATTGTGACCCCCCAGGCCTATTGTGACCCCCTCCCATTGTAACCCCCCTAATCCTATTGTGACCCCCATCATTGTGACCCCCCCAGTCCTATTGTGACCCCCTCCCATTGTAACCCCCCTAATCCTGTTGTGATCCCCATCATTGTGACCCCCCCAGTCCTATTGTGACCCCCTCCCATTGTAACCCCCCTAATCGTATTGTGACCCCCATCATTGTGACCCCCTCCCATTGAAACCCCCCTAATCCTATTGTGACCCCCATCATTGTGACCCCCCCAGGCCTATTGTGACCCCCTCCCATTGTCACCCCCCCAGGCCTATTGTGACCCCCTCCCATTGTAACCCCCCCAGGCCTATTGTGACCCCCCCCCCAGTCCTGTTGTGACCCCCCCTTGTGACCCCCAACCCTATTGTGACCCTTCCATAATTGTGACCCCCCCAACCCTATTGTGATCCCCCCATTGTAACCTCCCCAATCCTATTGTCAACCCCCAATTGTGCCCCCAATCCTGTTGAGCCCCCTCACTTGTGACCCCCCCCATTCCTACTGTGACCCCCCCAATTACAGCCCTCCCCTAACTATAACCCCCCCAATCCATTTATGACCCCCCCAATTCCTTCATGACCCCCTCCTTCCCCCCCCCGCCCCAGACAAGGACGGCCCCGAGTGCCCCCCCACGGTGGTGGTCAAGGAGGAGCCGGTGCCCCCCGAACCCAAGGCCGAGGGGGGCTCCCCCCCCCCCAGGACCTACCTGGAGGAGAAGGAGGAGCTGCGGCACAGCCCCGAGCCCTGCACCAAGATGACGATGCGCCTGCGCCGCAGCCACAGCAACAGCCAGTTTGTGAGTCGTTCCCCCTCCCCAGCGCTATGGGGCTGGGACCCTCATTCTATGGGGCACAACCCCCCCCCCATAACCCCTTTGTTTCTGTGTCCCCCCCCAGGTGGATTCCTATATCTGCCGTATCTGCTCGCGGGGGGACGAGGATGACAAGCTGCTGCTGTGCGATGGCTGCGATGACAACTACCACATCTTCTGCCTCCTGCCCCCCCTGCCCGAGATCCCCAAGGGAATCTGGCGCTGCCCCAAATGCGTCATGGCGGTGAGGATGTGGGGGGGACACACACACACATGCAAGGACCCCCCCCTCCTCCCCGCCCCACAGCTCAACCCAGCACCCTTGGGATGGGGCTGGGGGTGGTGGGGGGGACCCTGCGTCTTAGCGGCGTGTTCTGGATGTGTGGGGTGAGGGACGACCAGTGTGTGGGTCTGGGCTGGCTGAGGGGATGGGGGTGGGGAACCCCCCCGTTATGTGGGGCTGGGCAGGCGCAGCTTCGTGTCTGAGCACACTTGTGGGGCTGGAGACTCCTAGGTCAGCCCCATGCATTATGTGCCATTGTATTTGGGGGTTTGGGGACCTCTATCCCATCTATGGGGCTGGGGACCCCCATCTCTGGGGCTGAAAGACCCCCATGTCACATCTGTGGGGTTGGGGACCCTTGTCTCAACTCCCTACATCATTTCCTATCCCATCTGTGGGGCTGGGGACCCCCCTCTGTGGGCTTAAAGACCCTCATGTCACATCTGTGGGGTTGGGGACCCCCATCTGTGGCATTCAAGACTCCCATATCCCTTCTGTGGGGCTGGGGACCCCCCTGTCCCATCTATGGGGCTGGAGACCCCCATCTATGGCACTGGAGACCCCCATCTATGGCGCTGGGGACCCCCATCTATGGGGCTGGGGACCCCCTTGTCCCATCTATGGGGTTAGGGACCCCCATCTCAACTCCCTGCATCGCCTCCTATCCCATCTATGGGGCTGCGGCTCCCCATTTGTGGCATTCAGAACCCCCCTATCCCTTCTATGGGGCTGGAGACCCCCATCTATGGGGCTGGGGACCCCCATCTATGGGGCTGGGGACCCCCCTGTCCCATCTATGGGGTTAGGGACCCCCATCTCAACTCCCTGCATCGCATCCTATCCCATCTACGGGGCTGCGGCTCCCCATTTGTGGCATTCAAAACCCCCATATCCCTTCTGTGGGGCTGAGGACCCCCATCTATGGGGCTGGGGACCCCCCTGTCCCATCTATGGAGTTAGGGACCCCCATCTCAACTCCCTGCATCGCCTCCTATCCCATTTATGGGGCTGCGGCTCGCCGTCTGTGGCATTCAAAACCCCCATATCCCTTCTGTGGGGCTGAGGACCCCCATCTATGGGTCTGAGCCCCCCACCTCACCCCTTTCCCCCCTCCCTCCCCTTCCAGGAGTGCAAACGACCCCCGGAGGCCTTCGGCTTCGAGCAGGCCACGCGGGAATACACGCTGCAGAGCTTCGGGGAGATGGCCGATGCCTTCAAAGCCGATTACTTCAACATGCCCGTCCACGTACGTGTCCCCTGTCCCCCCACATCGTGCCCCATAGACACCCCCCCCCCTTTATGCCCCATAACCACCCCCATTGCTTCAGATGGTCCCGACGGAGCTGGTGGAGAAGGAGTTCTGGCGCCTGGTGAACAGCATCGAGGAGGACGTGACGGTGGAGTACGGCGCCGACATCCACTCCAAGGAGTTCGGCAGCGGCTTCCCCATCAGCGACGGCAAACGCAAGCTCTCCCCCGAGGAGGAGGTGATGGGGCAGCCCCCATCCCAGCCGCCCTATAGGGCCTCAGCGTTGGGATGGGGAGGGACCATCATTGTGTGTGTGTGTGTGGGGGGGGTTCCCTATAGGAATACGCCGGTAGCGGTTGGAACCTGAACGTGATGCCGGTGCTGAAGCAGTCGGTGCTGTGCCACATCAACGCCGACATCTCCGGGATGAAGGTGCCCTGGCTCTACGTGGGCATGGTCTTCTCGGCCTTCTGCTGGCACATCGAGGACCACTGGAGCTACTCCATCAACTACCTCCACTGGTGCGGGGATGGGGCTGAGCTCGGCCCCATAGCCTGGGAGGGATGGGGGGAGAGGAGGGGTTTTGGGGTATCGCAAACCTGAGATGGGGTTTTGGGGTGAGAAGAGGGGTTTTGGGGTGAGAAGAGAGGTTTTGGGGTATCGCAAACCTGAGATGGGGTTTTGGGGTGAGAAGAGGGGTTTTGGGGTGAGAAGAGGGGTTTTGGGGTGAGAAGAGGGGTTTTGGGGTACCACAAACCTGAGATGGGGTTTGGGGTGAGAAGAGGGGTTTTGGGGTATCGCAAACCTGAGATGGGGTTTGGGGTGAGAAGAGAGGTTTTGGGGTATCGCAAACCTGAGATGGGGTTTGGGGTGAGAAGAGGGGTTTTAGGGTATCGCAAACCTGAGATGGGGTTTGGGGTGAGAAGAGAGGTTTTGGGGTATCGCAAACCTGAGATGGGGTTTGGGGTGAGAAGAGGGGTTTTGGGGTATCGCAAACCTGAGATGGGGTTTGGGGTGAGAAGAGGGGTTTTGGGGTATCGCAAACCTGAGACGGGGTTTGGGGTGAGAAGAGAGGTTTTGGGGTGAGAAGAGAGGTTTTGGGGTATCACAAACCGGAGATAGATTTTTGGGGTGAGAAGTGCGGTTTGGGGGTGAGAAGAGAGGTTTTGGGTACCACAAACCTGAGCTGGGTTTTGGGGTGAGAAGAGAGGTTTTGGGGTACCACAAACCTGAGCTGGGTTTTGGGGTGAGAAAAGAGGTTTTGGTTTGAGAAGAGAGGTTTTGGGGTACCACAAACCTGAGCTGGGTTTTGGGGTGAGAAGAGAGGTTTTGGGGTACCACAAACCTGAGCTAGGTTATGGGGTGAGAAGATGGATTTGAGATGCCGCAACCCATTGGGTCAAGCCTGAGATGGGTTTTGGGGTGAGAAGAGAGGGTTTGGGGTACCACAAACCTGAGATGTGTTATAGGGGGAGAGGATGGGTTTGGGATGCCACAACCCACTGGCTCCATCCGGAGCTGGGTTTTGGGGTACCACAAGCCAGAGCTAGATAATGGGGTAAGAGGAGGGGTTTTAGGGTACCACGAGCCTGAGACGTGTTATTGGGGCGAGAGGATGGATTTGGGATGCCACAACCCATTGGCTCCATCCAGAGCTGGGTTTTGGGGTGAGAAGAGAGGTTTTTGGGTACCACAAGCCAGAGCTAGATGATGGGGTACGAAGAGAGGCTTTGGGGATGCTACAACCCCCCAGGCTCCATCCGGAGCTGGGTTTTGGGGTTACAGGGCAGGGTTTTGGGGTCCCCCTGGAGGGTGCTGGGGTACCTCTGACCCTGCACCCATAGGGGGGAGCCCAAGACGTGGTACGGGGTCCCCTCCTTCGCTGCCGAGCACCTCGAGGAGGTGATGAAGAAGCTGACGCCGGAGCTGTTCGAGAGCCAACCGGACCTCCTGCACCAGCTCGTCACCCTCATGAACCCCAACACCCTCATGGCCCACGGGGTGCCGGTGAGTGGGGGGGGGGACACCCCCAAAGCTCCCTGCCCAGTGCTTGGGGGTGCTGCGGGCACCCTCTTGGGGTGCTCTGGGTCTCAGGGATGCTGTTACGGGGGGACCGTGGGGATGGGTTGGAGGTGCTCTATGTATCCCTTGGGGGGGCCATAGGGATGGTTTTGGGGTGCTCTGGGTCTCAATGTGCCCGTAGGGAGTCCATGGGGATGGTTTTGGGGTCTTGTGGGTGTCAGTGTACCCATAGGGAGGACATGGGGATGGTTTGGGGATGCTCTGTGTGTCCCTTAGCGGGGGCCATAGGGATGGTTTTGGGGTGCTGTGGGTCTCAATGTGCCCGTAGGCAGGACACAGGGATGCTTTGGGGATGCTCTGCATCCCTTTGGGCCCATGGGATGGTTTTGGGGTGCTGTGGGTCTCAATGTGCCCGTAGGCAGGACACAGGGATGCTTTGGGGATGCTCTGCATCCCTTTGGGCCCATGGGATGGTTTTGGGGTGCTGTGGGTCTCAATGTGCCCGTAGGCAGGACACAGGGATGCTTTGGGGATGCTCTGCATCCCTTTGGGCCCATGGGATGGTTTTGGGGTGCTGTGGGTCTCAATGTGCCCGTAGGCAGGACACAGGGATGCTTTGGGGATGCTCTGCATCCCTTTGGGCCCATAGGATGGTTTTGGGGTGCTGAGGGTACCTTGGGGTGACGATGGCAATGCTTTGGGGATGCTCTGCATCCCTTTGGGGCCATAGGGATGGTTTTGGGGTGCTGAGGGTACCTTGGGGTGACCATGGCGATGCTTTGGGGATGTTCTGCATCCCTTGGGGCCCATAGGGATGGTTTTGGGGTGCTGTGTGTCCCGGCCACCCCCCTATTTCCCCCCACTTCCCCCCCTTCCTTTAGGTGGTCCGCACCAACCAATGCGCCGGTGAGTTCGTCATCACCTTCCCCCGCGCCTACCACAGCGGCTTCAACCAGGGCTACAACTTCGCCGAGGCCGTCAACTTCTGCACCGCCGACTGGGTGAGTCCCTGCACCCCCAAACTACAGGGGGGGCCCCAAAACGCACCCAAACCCCTTTAACCTCCCCATGGCTAAGCAG